TCCTCCTCCTCCTCCTCCTCCTCCTCCTCCTCCTCCTCCTCCTCCCCTCGCCCGCCCCCCCTCCCTCGGCTCCGCGAGCGGGTCGGCGAGCTGGGCCCGGAAGAGGCCGCCCGCCGCCCACCGGCCCACGCCGTCGCCGTCGGCGCGGCAGCAGAACCTGGGCGGCCGCAGGGGACAATCGAGAGGCTCGAGGATGGGACTCTGAGTTTCGCGATGCTTGTCTAGAAGGCTACTCCAGGTTTCGTAATAAAAGGGAGGGGGTCTGGACCCTCCAAGACAAGCCACTTCAGACCTCCCCCATGGGAGAACCCTCCCAAACATGGTCCCCAGACCCCCCTGGCCCTCCAAGATAGCCTGGAAGAGACCCCCCCCCGAAATGAGACCCCCCTCCCTTTATTACGACATCTGGAATAATAATACTCGGCGGCGTGCGTGGGGGGGGTGAGCAGGGGCGGGCTTTCTCAGAAGGCTCGGAGGGCCTCGGGCCTTCCGACCAGCTGTTTCTGAGCCTTCTCCGAGAACGCAGAAAAGCTTCTCGGAAGGCCAGAAGGCTTCTAAGAAGTCCCGCCGCCTTCTGAGAGAACCCGCCCCTTCTCAATTCCACCCTGGGCCCGCCGGCGAAATACTATGTGAACATACATGAGAATGCTAGCTGTATGTACTTATACTGTATATGTCGCCACACCCTTGGTCCCGAGCGCGCCCAAGTAGACGAAGCCGACACCACGGCAAACCCATGGCAAGCCTTGCGACCGCGGCAAGCCCGCGGCAAGCCCGCGGCAAGCCCTTTGGGGTCGAGGCGCTCTCCCCATGACGCACTGCCGCACATCGAGGCAAACGGCGCGGCGGCACACACACACACATAAATACACACGTGCAGAACACATATATATATATATATATATATATAGTTAAAAAAAGTAGATTGTAAACCATATGAACCCATAGTCGTGAATATATATATATATATACACATACATACATACATACGTACATATGTATATAGCAATATATATAACAATATATAGATATGTATATATATTGTTATGTGTATATATATATACACCTATACATATGAATATCTATATATATATATATATATACACATCGATCGGCGTGGGCATGGATTCTCGACGTCGGCGGCGTTGGTTGTGGCGAGCGCGGGGGGAGGGGGGGGAACGATGGCCCGGGGCCCTTCCAGGGCCCCGGGCCTGGCCGAGACAGGCGCACCCCCCACGAAGCCAAGACCACGGCGACCCCTCTGTGGCTTAAGTCGCTCGAGGGGTCGGCCAGCACACTCACACACACACACAGACAAGATGCATACACATGCACAAACAAAGACAGACATAGACACACACATACACACAATCGTACATGCAGACATGCATACACACACACACGTACATGCGTACATACACACATACATATATATATGTGAATATACATACACACGTACAAATACTTATACGCGCATGTACATACGTACATGCATACATGCCTGCCTGCATGCATACATGCAAACATAAACGTACACATACATATAGACGCGCGTGTATGTAGGAAGGCAGGCAGGTAGATAGGTAGGTGTGGATTTATGTGTATGCATGTATGTACGGTTCATGAATGTATATAAGTATGGGTGTCTGTATGCCTGGATGTATCTATATATGGATGCTTGAATGTAAGTATATATGAGTGTACGGGTGTACGGCTGCATGCATGCACGTATGAATGTATGTATGTGTGTATATGTGGATGAGTGGTTGTTTGGTTGTATGTAAGTATGCATGTAGATGTACATGCCTGTATGTACGTATGTGCGTGTATACTTGTGTGTAGGTATCTATGTGTGTTTGGTACGCGTACGGTTGCATGCATGCATGCATGCATGTACGTATGTGTCTATGTATGTACGCATGTATGTATGTATGCATGACGGTATGTATGTATGTGTGCATGTCTGCACACAGGTGTGTGTGCGAATGTCTGTAGCTGTGTGTGTGTGCATGCATGTATGCATGTGTATATGCATGTATGGGTGTGCTTGTGTATGTATATAGGTGTGTATGTCTGTGTACCTGCATGATTGCATGTTTGTATGATTGTATGCATGCATGTATGGTTGTGTATACATGTATGTGTGCTTGCAAATGCGTAAGTATGTATATGATTATGTATGTGTATGCATGCGTGTACGTCAAATTATACGTATATATGTATGCATGCATGGACGTGTCAAAGTACGCGTGTATGCATACACACAAATATACGTACATGTATCCGCCACCGTGCCTGCAAGGAGTGAGGCGTGTTAGAATGCTCTAATGGTCCTTCTGGGAATGTGTGTTTCCCAGCCAGCCTATGGTTGTGGGTGCTCGTTTTTCAGAGACCGCGCCCCGCGTCCACTCCTCCCCGCCCCTCCCCCCAGGCGGTACCCACATGCGTCCGCGCCGCCCATTTCGGCACACTCCTCACACGTTTCGTAACCCCATAGGCAGCTCAACCGAAAACCCCATCGGCGGTGTCCACATGCGTCCGCGCAACCCATCTCGGCACACCCCTCCCATGCTTCGTGGCCCCATACGGAGCTCCACCGAAGGCCCTGGTGGCGGTGTCAACATGCGTCCGCGCCACACATGTCGGCACCCCCCTCACACGTTTCATGGCCCCATACGGAGCTCCACCGATGGCCCTGGTGGCGGTGTCCACATGCGTTCACGCCACCCATGTCGGCAAACCCGCTCACACGCTTCGTGGCCACACAATGGGAGAGCTCCACCGATAGCCACAGTCGCGGTGTCCACCTGCGTCCGCGCCACCCATGTCCGCGCACCCCTCACACGCTTCGTGGCCATATAGGGCGCTCCACCGGCGGTGCCCACATGCGTCCGCGCCACCCATTTTTTGGCACACACACACACACATCACACGCTTTGCGGCCCCATACGGAGCTCCACCGCAGGCCCCAATGGCGGAGTCCACACGCGTCCGCGCAAAGCCTTCACACGCTTCGTGGCCACATACGGAGCTCCACCGGAAGCCCTGGTGGCGGTGCCCACATGCGTCCGCGCCACCCATGCCGCCGCACCTCTCACACGATCCGTAGCCCCTAAGGAGCTCCACCGAAGGCCCCTGTGGCGGTGCCCACATGTGTCCGCGCCACCCATTTCGGCACACCCCTCACACACTTCGTGGCCCCATATGGAGCATCACCGAAGGCCCTGGTGGCGGTGTCCACACGCGTCCGGGCAACCCATGTCGGCACACACCTGGCACGCTTCGTGGCCCCATACGGCGCTCTATCGAAAGACTCAGCGGGAGTGTCCACCTGCGTCCGCACCGCCCATTTCGGCAAACCCCTCCGACGCTTCGTGGCCCCATACAGAGCTCCACCGAAGGCCTCAGTGAGTGTGTGCACATGCGTCCGCGCCACCAATTTCGACACAGCCCTCACACGCTTCGTGGCCACATAAGGATCGCCACCGAAGAAGATTTCGCAATTGCGGTACTCACAGTTGCATGTGGTTGGGTCAGGATCATTAAAAACGTATTCTAGAGCCGACCCCCCTCTGCATCGCACGCAAGGCTCAGCGATCGCTCCCCGGCGCTCTTTTCTGCCTCCAGACGGTCAGGATGGCCTCCGAGACTGCTTCCAAGACAAAACAGAAAAGGCGACACGAGCACTTGCAATAATGGCCCAAGACAGCTCAAGAGGCTCTCAAGACGGCCCCAAAGGCCCCAAAGACTGTATCCAAGAGTGCTCTGAGAAGCCCTCCGGGAGAGCCCGAGGGGGCGAACAACAGCGGTGGTAACCTTTCGCATTGCTGGATTTTGAACATCTCGGTTGCTGGGGCTTCCGGTCGCCCAATACGGCCCAAGAGGCCTCCACGATAGCTCCAAGACAGCCCAAGGAGGCCCCCAAGAGGGTCCCAAGTCGGCGCAAAAGGAGCCCAGTATCGCCAAAGAGGCTCCCAAGAGGCCCGAAGACGGCCCTCAAGCGCCCCAAGTGTGCGCCATAGCGGCCCCGAGAAGCCCCCCCAACACGGCGTCCGAAGGCACCAGACGGGCCAAGAGCTCCCTAAGACGGCCCCCAAGGCCCCAAAGAGGCCCCAGGCAGCCCCCAAGAGGCCCCAAGACGCCCTTAGAAGGCGAACGACGGCGATGTTCCAGATTTCGAGGTTCTCGCCTGCTTCGGTTTCCGACCGCCCAAGACGGCCCAAAGGGCCTTCAAGATAGATTCAATACGGCCTGCGAGGCCCCCCAAAAGGGCCCCAAGGCGGCCACAGAGGACCCCGAGATCTCCCAAGAGGCTCCCCGAGAAGGCCCCGAGCCGGCCCCAAAGCGCTCCAAAAATGCACCGAGACGGCCCAGAGAAGGCCCTCAAGCAGAAGGCCGCCCGTGCCGCCCGGAAACGCGTCCGCCGAAAGTGCGCCGACCTCCGCGTGAGTTCCGCCCGAGGCTGGGGCCGGATCTTGGGGGGTACCCCCCAGACCCCCCCAGGTTGGGAGGCAACTACTGGGAGGTCTTCGTCGGAAGGATGAAGGAGGATTCAGCCCCATTGCGGGGCTCTTACGCCAGAAAAGGCCTCGGATTTAGCGGGATGAAGCCGGATTCAGCGGGATCGAGCCGGATTCAGCGGGATCAGGCGGGACTAGGCGGGATCAAGCCGGACTTCGGACCAGGGCAAAATCAGAATTTGACCTCCCAGGAGTTGCACCCGAATCCCCCGGGGAACACGCAGCGGGAGCCCCTCCGCAAGGTCGGAGGAAAAAAACAGTTTCCCGGGAGCTCGCGCGCGAGGACCCACGCTCCTTCGGACCCCAGAGGAAAACACGGACGAGGAGGGAGGAGGAGGAGTTGGAGGAGGAGGAGGGAGGAGGAGGAGTTGGAGGAGGAGGAGGAGGAGGAGGAGGAGGAGGAGGAGGAGGAGGAGGAGGTCGGGTGCTGAGCAAATCGCGACGGACAACGTCAGATAGCCTGCGGCCCCCGACGGCCCCTGCCAGGCCCCAGAACTGTCAAAGAACGGCTCGGAATGAGAAGCCCGTCCAGGGGAAGTGGTCCAGACCTTTGGGGGGCCACCTCGTGCACAGATCCTGACGTGCGGGGCCTGGGGATACCGAGCACCGCCACCCTGCCCTCGCCCAGGAGGCCCCAGGCAGCCCCCTTCTTGCGGGACCCGGGCGCTGCCACCGGGCTTCGATCTCCCCGGGACCACCGCACGTCGACACGGCTCGAACAACGCACCAGAAACATGCGGCCCGGGGCCCCGGTCGTGGCCTTCACGCTGGCCCAGATCTCGCCGCGCCATGTCGGCCCTCGGGGCCCCCACGCGGTGGGCTGCCCCCTCCCCTCTCGGGCCGCTCGCCTGGCGACGGCGGCGTGGCCCCGCAAGAGCTCCACCGCCGCCTCGGCGCTGTGCACGGACTCGGGGCTCTGGAGCTCGCTGGCGCTCCAGGGCTCCGGCTCCGCGCTCCGCTGCACCGGCAGCCTCGAGGAGGCCGGGCTGAGCAGCGCGCGCACGCGCTTCGGCAGCGCGTCCGCGTCGGGGACCGGGGCGTTCTGCGGGGACGCAATGCTCAGGCAGTGCGTGTAGAAGTCGCCCCTCGTCGCCATGTAGTACGGCAGCTTCTCGAGCGCAGTCAACCAGGCATTTATGTTCGGGAACGAATTTCTGATGTCGTACCCCTTGTAGTACAGTCCCCAGGCGACTGCTCGCTCGACGTGCGGCGCGAGCGAAAGATCGACAAGAGTCGGATGAGGATAATCCAACAGCCAGGGTGCGTCTTCGATGTTCTGTAGATCCCCAGTGACAGTACGACCAAGCTGTTGCTCCAAGTAGCCAAGCACCACGTCAACAGTGCGGGACTTTGATTGTGCTACTGGGTCGGTCGGTCTGAAAAGAAAGTTTGAAAACTGCTCGACGAAATCGCGTTCCACCTCCAAGGCGACCACCGCCCACTCTCGCTCAGGCTTCCCGCGTGGGAACATGGGCATCTCTGGATCCCTGGAGGGCGTTTTTTGGGAATCGGCGATAACCCAGGTTATCCGCAGGGGGGGAGGAGGGGGCTGGCCGACAACCTGACCTACGCGCTGTGGGCAGCCCTGCATACATGCCCGCGCCTCCCCCCTCCCACCCCCGGACCTGCACAACCGGCAAGGTTAGGTTATATCCTTGGGGGGGGAGAGGGGGGGGGGGGGGGAAGGCCGAGAACCCGGGTTGTCGCCGGAGGAGGGAGGGGAGGCAGCGGGAGGAGGCAGCGGGAGGAAGGAAGGAAAGAAGGAGTGACGCGGGGCGCTGTCTCTTCAAAACGAGGACCAACACCACAGGATGGTTGGGAACAAAAACCAGTCTCCTGAAGACGCGCTCCAACTCAAACATGATGTCGCGGCTCCCCGTGACAAGGCGCCCGTCGATCTCCACGGCGGGCAGGGCGCCGCCGGGCACCACGTCCAGGAACTCCCGCGGCCTCTCCCCGTACGATGGCCGGAGGCCAGCCGCAGCACGCCACCAGCGGCTCCGTGGCGGGCCCGTCCCCCGGGCCCAGACTGGCGCGTACGCACGCACGCATGCACTTTTTGTTGGTCTGCGGGGCGAGAGCGAACCTCTTCGGGTGAAAGCTAGGCGGGCTGCGCACAGCTCTAATGGGGGAGACAGGGCACAGGCGGGCGGGGCCTCAGGCGGCCGCGCGCATGCACACACACACACACACACACTCACACACTTCTTCCTCGTCCGGCGACGTACAGCACGATCGCGTCGAATGCGGCGGGAGACGCTGCATGCACTTCATCTGCACGTGTGGCGAAAGCGCTTGGACCCAGCTGTGTGGCCCTGATCGCGGGGCAATCTGAGCAAGTAGCAGGGGGGAGGGGCAGGAAACGAATGAGGCGTGCAACAATGGACTGTGCGCACACTCACTCACTCACTCACTCACTCACTCACTCACTCACTCACTCACTCACTCACTCACTCACTCACTCATTCACACGCACGCACGCACGCACACACGCACGCACGCACGTACGCACACACGCAGACACACACATACACATACACACATTGGAAGTGACGACGTGAAGGGGAGGCGTACAAACGACCCCCCAAGCCCGGCAAGCTGTCACATCGGAGCTTCCAGGTGGTAGTCCAGCTGCGTCAGCGGTTGGTTGCCCTAATGACGGGTCTCTGGAGGGACCTGCGCCTCGAGGTGCTGCGGTCGTGATGGCCGCTGAGCTGGAGGATGAGGCCGACATCTGCCATGACGGAGGCAGCACCCTGGACGCCTACGAGGTGACTTTGGACGAGGAGCTGGGCCACCTCGAGGTCGACAGGGGCCTGGAGGCGGGCGTGTGCAGAATATATGGTGTGCAGGAGGCTGCGCAACAGGACGATGGAGGTGGTGAGCAGCCTGCCTATATGGGGCGCCTCCCGCCCACCGTGCCGCCCGAGCGTGACCAGGCCATGCGGGATTACCAGGACATGAGGCATGATCTGCGGGATTGGGCGGCTGTGTGGTTTGAGGGCAACGTGCTCCAGGTGAGTGATGAAGCCAGCTGGTAGGAGCGCCGCGCGAGGAGCTCTTTGGTGCCATGCTGCGAGGAGGGAACAATCTGCCGCTGCAGGCCATTATGTTGAGCCGGTTCCCTGGACGGTCGTTGGCGTCGATCTTGGGCGGGAGGTGGGTGAGCCGGCTGGGGCCAAGATGACCGCGCACGGACGGGGCCTTGAGCTGATTGCGCGCGGTCCATTCGTGCTGTGCCGTCTGTGCGGCGCGTACGTGTCTCGCGAGGCTCGTCGGCTCCAGGCTGACTGTGCTGGCCCCCTGCCCAGTGTCCAGGAATGTTATGTGGAAACTCATGGTACCATTCCGTAAGACAACGACCCCCTGCTTAGCACCTTAGCGCTTCTTAGTGCGCGGCGTGCGCCTGTTAGCGGCGCGTGATTCGGCGCGCGTGACCAGCGCCCGCAATCCTTACGCGGCGGGGCTCAAAGGCCACTCCGCCCAGGGCTGCATTCCGAATGCAGCCTCGGGCAGAGAATGCGGCGCAAGAGGCGTGACCTCCTCTCAGCGGGGAGGCACCCGACGACAGGCGCCAGCCTGGTGCGCGACCCGCAGGCCTGCGGCCTGCCGCGTGGGCCCCTCCCGGTCCCGGGTCCTCTGGGCGGCCTCTTGGTCGGGGGGGGTCCCCTGGTCCAGTTCCCTTGGCCGACGCCTGTCTCCGCAGGGTGCTTGGCCTGGGCCTGGGTGCCCTGTTGGCCCTGAGCGTGGGCCCGACTCCGGGGACCGTGGACGGCCTCCTGGGGGAGGTCGGGGCATGGCACTCTGTAGGGCGCCTGCGAGCGGACCTCAGTGGTCCCGTGGGGACAGGCCCCTTGGGCCTTGAGTGACGTACAGGCTGTCACTGGGTTTTCTTCTCGAGCTCTGACCAGGGACCGTCCGAATGCTGGTACACACACACACACTTTTAGGTCAGCGGCGAAGAGGGTCCTCAAGCGTAAGCAGCAGATGGAAGTGCTGATTGCGACCGAACCTTGCCGATAGCGCAGCGTACAAGCGACGAGCACTGCAGACTGCAGCACGCACACAGACACAGACACAGACACAGAGACACAGAGACACAGAGACACAGAGACACAGAGACACAGAGACACAGAGACACAGAGACACAGAGACACAGAGACACAGAGACACAGAGACACACAGACACACAGACACACAGACACACAGACACACACACACACAAACACACACACACACACACACTGTGCCCCCCCCCGTAGCCATGTTGGCTCAAGTTGCTTCGGTTCAAGATCCTTGCCGCTGGGCTGCCCTCCGTCGGTCGCCCGCCCCGGCCCGGTACCTGCAACGAAGCGGGACGCCCGCGCCATCGCGCTGGATGCCACTCGCGGCGCGGCCCTGGCTGTCCACGCGGCAGCGGGGCTGAAGGGAGGCGCTGGAGAGCTCGCAGCGGCGAGGCTCCTGCGCGCTGCCGACGGGATCATCAAGCTGGCCCTGGCGCTCCTCGCTGCCCCGCTGCCGCCGCCAGCGCCGGCCCCGCCCCCCGAGGGCTGTCGGAGGTGCGGGCGCCCGCGTGAGCGCGGCGGCAAGCGGGACGCGAGCCTGAACCAGGCCGACAAGGTGGTGCTGATGGATAGCACGGAGGCGGGGAAGCGGGGAGGCCTCGAGGGTGGCGGCTGGGCCGACACGGCGGTGTCGGGCTCGGCGCCCCCGGCCGCGGCTGCACCCGCCCCCGCTGTTGCGGTGGAGGCGACCGCGGACGGCGGCGGCGCGGAGGCTGGAGCTGCGCGAGCGGGCCTGTGCCTCGAGAGCGCGTGTCTGCGGCGATGCCCGACGCCGGCGGCGGCCACAGGACGAGCTTGCCTGATGACGAGTGGCCCGCTGAGCCGCCTCCACGGCCGCTGGAGCCTTCCGCCCGTGCACGAGGCTGCGGGTCAGCGCGGGCGTCCTGCCCGTGGGGGCGCCGCTCCGAGTGGGCTCTGCCTGCGCTTCCACCCGCGCGCACCCAGGCCGTGGGAGCGTGAGCTCCTCCGGCCCCCCTCCTGCCGCGCAGCCCGCCCACGCTGCCGGCGCAGAGCAGCGGCGGAGGTCAGCTGCGACGCAGGGGGACGGCCGCGCCGTCCTCGCCCTGGAGAGCACGGGGGGGTGACTTTCAGGGCTCCGCTCGCCTCCCTCTGGTCGTGCTGGGCTGCAGTGGCTGACCGCCAAGTCTTTGTGAGGCGGCATGTGGCCGCCGACTCGGCGGCGTGAGGCGTGAGCTCTGGGGAGCAAGCGGCCGGCGCTGGCGGCGCCCTGCGCTCCCGCAGGAGGGCGCGTTGCTTGTCCTTCGCGTCGGATCGCCCTTGGGCCAGGTTATCAGTGCGCTGCCTGGCGCTGAGGGCTCCTGCGGGCCTCCCTCTAGGGGCCTTTGGGGTCCGCGTGCTGGCTATCCGTGCGATGCCAGCGTGGCTTCGTGGAGCGAACTGTCATTCCCCGCGATCATGTTTGATCCTCTTCCACATTTGCAACGCTTCACGTTCTTGCGCGGATCAGTGCGATCTTGAGCCCTCAATGGCTTCAAATTGTCTTGGGCAAGGCTGTGTTCGTTACACCCGTGATTCGGACGCTGTCTCCCCGTAGCTCGACACACACTGTGCCTCCGACGCGCCGAAGTGTCCCATCGGAGGATTCTCGATGGGGGGTCACCCTCAAGAAAAATGTGCTTCCCTGTGAAGCTGCGTAGCTGCCCTGAGAGCCCCCGCAGACCGCGCATAGGCCACCGCGCGCACAAACACACACCCACACACACAGACACACACACACAACCACACAACCACACAACCACACACACACGCGTACAATCACGCAAACACGCACTGACACACAGACAGACAGACATACACACACACACACACACACACACACACACACACACACACACACACACACACACACACACACGCACACGCACGCACGCACGCACGCACGCACGCACGCACGCACGCACGCACGCACGCACGCACACGCACTCACGCACACACACGCAACAGCACACGCCCTGCCGGCCCGGGCGAGCAGGGCCTCAGCAAAGGGGGCCCGCTCGGTGGCGGCGTGCCGCCGCCGCCGCGGCCGCGGCGGCGCGCGCCCGCCGCGCGGCAGGGCGCGGCGGCTGCGCGGCACGCAGGAGCCCTGACCTCCTCGGGCCGTGACGAAGCGGTCACGGCGGGAGGCGTTTCGCCAGTCTCGGCCTCCTCGCCATCGCTCGGACGTCCATTCCCTGTGTTTTTGTCGGTTTCGTGCGTGGGTTATTTCGCCAAATGATCGAGGATGCTCCTCGAAGGTCCTCGCTGAGAAAAAAAATGCACACGTCCGAGCGATGCCAAGCCTCGGGCCGTGACAAAGAGGTCACGGCGGGAGGCGTTTCGCCATTGCTCGGCCTCTGGGGGGTCCTTCCCGCGCCGTCACGAAACGAATATTGTTGAATATTCCTCCTGTCAGGCCCGATGGCCAGCGGGAGCCCCGACGGGGCCCTGGCCCTTGGGGGCCCGCGCGGTCTCGTGGGGGCTGCGGGGGGGGGGAGGGGGGCCGGCCGAGGACCAGGGGGCGGCGCGGCACCGTGGGGGCCCCGAGGGGGGCCAAAAGGCCTGTCGCCGCGTGAGCCGGGCCTCTGGGGGGCCGTCACGAAACGACTCAGGATGAAACACCGGTTCCGGGGAAAGGGTCGAGACCTTCTGGGGGCCGACATCATGGAACAATCACGACGTCGGGGGTCTGGGAGGCCAGGTGGCGACCTCAGAACCCTGCCCCTGCCAACCATCGGTCCTCCTGAATCGATGGGGGGCGGAGGCAGGGCTCGGATGTCGACACGTGCTCGACGAGCTCCGCAGCCCACCCCCGTCGCCCACGGAGTTGCCGGAATCGCTGATCGGATGCAGGCTCTTGGGTGACCCAGAAGGGGATCCAGCTGAAAGGGGGTGGTGCAGTAGATTTGGGGCAATGGATTGCACGTGTGTTGCGCTGGAGAATTGTACTACATCGTGTAGCAAGCAATGCATGGCACG